ATGAGAACACATTTCGGGAAGATCCTGCCAGTGTTACCATCAGTCCCGAGGCATGTGGGCTGTGCCTGGGCTCAGATTTCACCGCTGCACCTTCAGTTCTGGGGGATCGTGAATGCCGGGCTCCTCTGCAGCCTCTCGGGTTCGTTTCAGTGGTTCTCGTTTTGAGTTAATGACCGTCAGGACTTTGCCAGGGAGCCTTCCAGAAATAAGGCTGCCATTCACGGCGCGGTCCCTGGCAGAGCCGGCCTTCCTACACCAGGGAGACTCTGTTTACCTCCCGTAAGAGTCAGCAGAGCCTGGGGCCTGCCCGTCCTGACCCAAAGAAGGGCCCCTTCATGTAGCCGGAGGGCGAGGGCCCCCTGGGCCGGGGAGGGACACAGGCCCTGACTGTGGGGGCAAAAATGTTCCGTGTGTCGAAGCTGCAGTAACATTCCTGGGTCACTCTCAGAGCCATAACCCAGCTTTTCCGTTCCCTAAAAATAATCTTCAATCACTTGTGGTTCTCTTTAGTAATCAGAGTTTTCTGTGAAATGGGAGTAATAGCGCCGTGGTCCTGCCCCCCCCCCCGCGTTCAGACGTAATCCCAGGCCTGTGATGCACTTGGGGCCTGTGGTGCGCCTGTGACGCCCCGTCACTATTCCAACGGTGCACGTGACACGCTAAAGGCGATCAGGGGCCGGGGGCCAAAATCCAGGGAGTCGGCACACACAGGAGAAAGTACTCTAATCCTGGAATCCTTGCAACCAAGGAGCAAAATCCATCTACTGCTGTGAGGAGTGGAGCTGAATTCATCACAGGGCCCTGTTCTGTAGTGAAAGGACATCTCCACGGGGACTGTGTCCCCCCGGGTGGGTCAGGAGGGACCCTGAGAGCCTCTGGGGGGCGGGGGGGGGCAGGTGCTGGAGCTGCTGCAGCACAGAGAGGCCCTGCCAGGCCCTGGGGCGAGGTCTGGACAGCAAGCCCTGCCCCTCCTGGACCCGGTGGGGGGGACTGGGGCCTTCCCACCCCTCCTGGGTGCAGGCAGAGCTGCCTCCTTCCCGGTTGTAAATGAGGTCATGCTGTGAGGGCCCCGTGACGACAACCACCTGGGCGGCGTTTCCCACAGCCGGGCGCCTTGCTCAGGCTTTTATGGGGAGCACCGGCTTTCATCCACCCTCCCCACCCAGCATCCCTGCGTGGCAGGTGCTGTAACTCACTTTATAGAGGGGGAGACAGATCTGAGAGGTGAAATCATTTGCCCACGACAGCCGGCCAGTTAACTGTGGGCCTGGGACCTGAACCCAGAGACCGTCTGGCTGCAGAGCCTGTGCCTACGGAGCCACCACCCTTTTAAACAGCATCTTGTTCTAATGAAAATTTACAGCTGGTGTCCAGAAGGTCGGGGGCGAAGCTGATGGGGGGAGGGGGCTGCGGAAATGCCCTTGATCCTGGTCTCCAGTCTGTCACGCACACACACACACGCACACACGTCCTCTGAGCAATCCCATCTCTGGAAATTTATCTTTAAGAAATTATCCAAAATCAGGAAGTTAAGATGTTTACTGCACATCTTATAATAACAAAACATTTGAAATTGTCTAATGTGCCCCAGCCGCCCCAACCCCCGATAGAATACCTATTTCTTAAAAATTTAAATGGTCAGAGCCATGGATTGACATGAAAACGCTTGTTGTATGAGGAGACGGCAGCTACACGTCGGCGCCGCGGCGTTTTACCCGCATTCCCAGTTCCGTTTCCAGGGCTCCCCTGTGGGCCCCTTTCCTCCCGGCCTCCTCGTTTCCACGCTGGCTGTTCCTCCCTGAGCTCGCTGTTCCTGATGTAGCTCCTCGGCCTCGTCAGCACAGTCCCTGCGGCTCTTCACCTCTGACTCTCCGGGGCAGGTTCTCTCCTGCGCTGAGCTCGCCCCCTTGGGTCTTTGGTAAATTTCTCCCGTGAGCACTTGGGGGTCCTCGAGGGTGCTTGTCTGCGGGGCTCCACCTTGCTGGCCCGGGGGTGGGGGGGCTCGGCGCTCTTGGCTCCCCAGACCCTAGGAGTTCAGGGTCCCAGGCGGATGGAGCCTTCCTTCACCATGTTCCTGGGTTGGCTGGGTTTTAATTGGGTGTAAATCCTGAATTTGTGCAGGGAGCCCAGTTTCCTCCAAGGGCCTGAGTGTGGTCTCTTCCCCAGAAGGGGTGAGGTCCCCGGGCCCCAGGCCTTCACTGGTTCCACCTGCGCCCACGGAGCCTTTGGGGTCCACCCTCTCCCAGCATGAGGGTCTGCCTGGTGTCCAGCACTCAGACTTCTTGCCCTGGCCTCTGCTGCGCTTTAAAAACAGCGTGTTCCTCATTTCCACGTTTGCAGGGGGACAGTCAGCCCACTCCCTGACCCAAAGTGCTTTATCTTTCCCACTTATTGCAACTCTGAAAACATCTGTGGGTAACGCCAGACCCTAAAAAGAAATGACTTGTCACGGGTTTACAGGGACCATTGTTTTTTTCCTGCAAACGTTCTGTGTTGACACAGGCATCCTCTTTTTAACTGTTCTTTCAGGACGCGTACGTGGCCACGGCCATTAACGGGACAGACTTTTGTACCTCAGCCAGAGACGCTCTCAGGCTCTTGTCCGAGAATTCAAGTCGCTTCCCATCAGTTAACCGTTTCGGAGACTTCATCATTTTTTTAGGAAAGGTGAGGCTAAGATGATAATTCACTAAAATAGTAAATAAAGGCTCCTGGGGGTCCAACAATTAAGCCACACAACAGGACTGGGATGGGAACGGATGTTTCTTTGGCACCCTCTCCAAAGTGGAGCCCAAATAGAGCAAGGTCTCAGCTCCAGCTGTGACCTGGCCAACGCCAAGTGTGGGGACTCGGGCCTCCTGGTTTAGCATGTTGTGCATCTGTGGCATTTGGGCGTCTCTGCATTGCTCTCATTGTGAGCTGTCATCAGTGACAAGTTACAACACGCTTGGGCCTGACAGGTGTGTGCTAATTGCACACATATTTTTAGGCTCAGCTGGGCCCAAGAGACTTCGCATGGGAAGGAAGCACAGCCGATAGCTGACTGAGCCTTTCAGAGCAGCCTGAATAATCCAGGTTGCAGTTGTATTTAAATGGGTACCAGTGTCTGCATTAGCTTCATAGGATTATGGGTGATGTATTTTCTAATAACTCCTTCCAAAAATTTTTTGGAATGAAGTTTCATCTTCAGTACAGATTTATATTTTTTTATTTTACTTTGGGAAACAACCTGTTTTTCCTATATTCCCCATAACGAACACCTAATTGCTAAGAGCTGCTGATGAGCTTGTGAAAACCAATGATTCTTTGGTTTCTTGAATCAAGTGGCACTCAAATGGGCGCGTCCCTCTTCTCGGATGTCCGGGGGCAAAGCGGACTCCAGATGGGCTGTGCTTGTCAGAGAATTAGGTCTGTCCCAGCCCGCGGTCCTGCTCCAGGGAATAGAATAATTACACGTAGCCAGAGCCGGGAGTCATCCCATTATTCCTCCGGCAGTTCTGGGCAGCCCTTCCGCTCAGTCCTCGGGGTACAGATAACCCCAAGTTAAACTACAGTGTGTCCACTCGACGGACTGTTACACTGTCATTTAAAAGTGGCGATTATAAAAGAGTTTTAAAGCGAAGCAACAGTTTTGTGAGGTATCATGACAACTAGGTAAATATGAAAACCAGGCACCAATAGGAAAGTTCATCTACTCGCCCCACCTCCAGGTGGCCAGGTTTCCCTTCGCGGCCACAGCCGTTCGTGCTTTCTTCTTCCTAAGCTCATTGTCCCAGATTTTCTTGTTTTCTTTATTATTATTACCTTACTGTTACTATTTTCCATCACCGTTTGTCCCAAATGTTCTAATGAGCGTTCTTTGCACCTGCAGCCCCCCCCCATGCATGTATGAAACTCTGGTAACCGACGGCAACACTTTCTGAAGTGGTCTCGCCCGTTTACAAAGGTTTGCACGACTCCTGTGTTGACAGGTGCTGGTGGTGTGCTTCACGGTCTTCGGCGGGCTGATGGCCTTTAACTACCACCGTGCGCTGCAGGTGTGGGCGGTCCCGCTGCTCCTGGTTGCCTTTTTTGCCTTCTTCGTGGCCCACAGTTTCTTATCTGTGTTTGAGACCGTGCTGGGGGCACTTTTCCTGTGTTTTGCTGCTGACCTGGAAACAAATGATGGGTCTTCCGAAAAGCCCTACTTCATGGACCAGGAGTTTTTGGTGAGCACACAACCTCACTTCCCGTTGCGATCTGCACGCTCGCAGGTGGGGAAGGCTCAGCCTTCGCCTGTGAACCAGCCTCAGCGTCTCCCCTGGGGGCTCTCTGAGCTCCTCAGACACGGCCGGAGATGCCCTGCCCCTCCCGTATGGAAACCTGCCTGGAGAGAGGTGAAGCCGCACCATTAACGCTGACCAGTGGCCCTGCCTACAGGGTGTCCTGGATTCACTCAGCAGCCTTCCGAGTCCCATGGGTGCTGATGGCTTGGTCTGGCCTTTCAGATGCTCTGGGGGTTGAACAGTTGGTCTTTTTCCAAAACACGTTTGCACCCGAGCATCGTGTCACACCCAGTGTCGGTTAGGGGCAGTCACTGTGGTGGAGACACCCTGTCTGGCTGGGGGTGGGGGCAGATCTGCCATCTCAGGCCGTTTGCTAACGGGGCGCAGCACCCCCAGAAAGCCACACCCTGAGTGCAGCCAGAGCTGCCTCAGTCTGGAAATAGGCAGCTGCCCCACAGCTCCTGCACCACAGCTGTCATTTGCCTGATCCCGGGCAGACAGGCGTTTGGACAGCTGGTGACATCTCATCTCTCATCTCTTCCTGCAAATGGCATTGGAATAATTGTCTTTCATTCTGTTGCCATAAAACGTAGGTGTGAGAGCCCCTTTGCTTTTAAAGGGAGCAGGCAAAGCCCCTTCCCTTCAGCCAGGCTCTGATGCTCCACAACAAACACCTCTGTGGTTTGTAACAATGTGTCTTCTCCCTTCTCCACGTGAAACGTAAAGATACACTAGCGCTTTAGCTTATTTGTACTTGTTCTCGAAAAGACACTTCTTTCTGATTTAAAACCCACTTGGAAATCTACCCCGGTGCCCCCAACATTTTAATTCACCAAGGGAAACTTTTTAAAAGATTAAATTCCCCAAAGCGATATGGCCAAGTAAATTGTGCCAGCGTGTAGGCCATGACCCTGGTCTAACTTGGCTTTTTGTTTTTCAGAGTTTTGTAAAGAGGATCAGTAAGTTACAACGCGCAAGGCCCGAGAGAGACAGGAGCTCCGTGAGGCACGAAGAAGGAACTGAACTCCAGCCCGTCGTGAGATAGGCGCCGTTAGGTATTTGCGCCCGGGAAGCTCCCCTCTTCTACGAGCCCTTCTCAGAATAAACACGGTGGCTGCAGACTCTGTTTTCCACCGTGTGGTCCCTGCTGTTTGGCCCCCTACAGCCCAGACAGCTCACAGCCTCTTTTCCGCTCACAGGGGCAAAAACCCCTTTAGGACCATGTTTATACCCATCAGTCCAAAAGCACACAGTTTACACACTCATTTCAGGGCTCCGGTGAAAAGCGCACCCCTCACTCTCAACCCGTAAATACCCCTGGCAGAAACCTCTGGACTGCGGCCCTGGTACGGAGCCGGACTTCCCGGATGCCTGCAGTCCTAGAAATGTGCTAAGTGTGTTATAACTCAGCAAAGTACAGGTTTTACACGTTGTGACCCTCAAAACCAGAACTCCCCCCTGACGGGCATGGTGCAAACTGAGGCAGGAGCGGTTTCACCAGATATGAAGGGAGCTGCTTAAAAGTCCCAGGCTCCCTCTTACAAATTAGCAAACGTCGTGGTCCACAGCCCCACCCGAGAATCACCTGGACCCCTTCCTGAGATTCAGATGCTGTGACCAGGGGAGAGGGGTGTTGGGGGTGCTTTTCCGTTTCAAAGCTTTAAACAAATCGGAACATTCCACGAGTTGACTGGCAGCCTCATTTCAGTTAGGTGAGAGGTGAAGAGTTATCGGTTCTCCTAAGGGGGCCAGGCTGGCTTCCTTGCAGGGCAGGGAAGGCTTCCCTAGACCCTTGTGAGCATGGCAGAAGCGGCCTGTGGGCTCAGGCCTACTTGAACAAGTGCCAGTGACACCTTTATCTTAAACGGCACCATCGGCTTAGCAAAGGGGTTTGCAGGGCAGTTTTGGGAAACGGTCACTGTGGCCTGATAAGCGGGTAGACAGGGCTTTTGTGGGTGCGTGGCCCCCGTGCGGCAGGTCCTCCTTATCTGCCTCAGCAGAGCACAGGCACACGGCTCCCCCGAGTCCCCAGAGCCAGTCCTGCCAGTTTCGTCCAGTGAATGACTTTTTGTCATCACAGCTGCTTAGCTCCTTGACCTTCTGTGTCATGACTGAAGGTTAGGTTTGGCTGATACTTCATAATATAAGCCTTTGTTTATTCTCAAATAGGAATATTATCCTGTTCCTGATCCAGTGCGTTTCTTTTTTTAAAAAGCATATATTCTTCAGGGATTAGAAATGAATAGATTTTTCTAAAGCAGTGGCCTTGTAAGTGACTTGAAAATTATTCACCTAAACATCTTGTGTGCTGTATTTCTATGTAATGCATTCTGTTAAAAGTTTTACTTTTCAAGTATAGTGACGTACACTATCATATAGTTTCAGGTGTACAGCGTAGTGAGTAGACATGTGTGTACCTTACGAAGCAATCACCCTGGTAAGTCCAGTACCCGCCTGGCACCGTGTGTGGTCACTGCAGTATTACTGGCTGTATTCCCTGTGCTGCACTTCACGTCCCCGTGGCTGTGTTTATAACCGGGAGTCTGTACGTCTTACTCCCGCCCCCTTTTACACCCAGCCCCCCAAGCCCCCTCCCGTCTTGCGATGCTTTTCTCTGTATAAGTCTGTTTCTCTTTTGTTCATTTATTTTGTTCTTTAGAGCCCACATATAAGTGATATCTCACAGTATTTGTCTTTCCCTGTCTGACTTATTTCACTTCGCGTAATACTCTCTAGGTCATTGTCACAAAAGGCAAGATTTCATTCTTCAATGGTGAGTAATATTCCATTGTGTATATAAGTGCACCACAGCTTTTCTATCCACTCGTCTCGATGGGCACTCAGGTTGCTTTCATGTCTTGGCTATTACAAGTATTAATGCAGTGAATGTAGGGGCGCGTATATCTTCAAATAAATACCCAGAAGTGGGGTCGCTGGGTCACATGGCAGCTGTTTTTGAGGAACCTGCACACTGTTTTCCAAAGGGCTACACTGGTCTGCGCTCCCACCAGCGGTGCCCGGGGCCCCTTTCTGCACACCCTCGCCAGCGCGTGGTGTTTGCCGATTTGTTGATGGCGGACGTTCTGGCGGGTGTGAGGTGACACTCCATGTGGCTTTGATTTGAATTTCTCTGATGATCGGCGACATTAAGCAATAACGACAATGGGCGTTTCTCGTATGCGCCTTGGCCGCCCGTATGTCCTCTGGGGAAGTGTCTGTTCAGGTCCTCTGCTTAATTTGATTATTTGGGTTTTTTGTTTGTTTTTTGTTTTCAGTGTTACCCACAAGCTCCCTTGCGGGCCTCTTTGGGCTCATCTTGTCTGGGCCTCCCGGTGCCCCCAGGACTTGCACATCTGTTTCCTTTGCCAGGTCAGGGAGGTTTTCAGTCGTTATTTCCTCAGATGAGTTTTCAGTTCTTCCCTCCCTCTGCTCCTGGGACCCCCACAGTGTGGGTGTTGTGATGCTTGATTTGTCCCAAAGGTCCCTTAAACTATCCTCTTTTTAAAAGATAACTTTTTCTGCTGCTCCAGTTGGGTGCCTCCTGCTGCGTGTCTCCTAGGCCCCGGGCTCGACCCTCTGCTGCGTCCAGCGCGCTGCTGATTCCCGCTGGTGCACGTTTGTCTCGGTTACTGCGCCCCCCAGTTCTGAGTCGATCTCTTTAATGTTTTGTATCTTTGTTGACGTTCTCGGGATCCATCCACTCTTCTGCCACCTTCACTGGGCACCCTTATAACTCCGTGTGTGACAGGTTGCTTGTCTCCACTCTGTTTAGTTGTTTTTAATGGAGCTTTGTCATGTCCTTTCATTTTGGACATATTTTAATCTCATTTTGGTGGGCGTTCTGCTTGTTTCTGTGTATTAGGGAGATGTGCTATGTCTCAGTCTTGAACGAGTGGTCTTATATAGTAGGTGTCCTGAGGGCCCGGTGGAGCAGGCCCCTGTCACCTGAGCCCGGTTTTCTAGGAGTGTCTCTCCTGTGGGCTGCGTGTGCCCTGTTATCGTTGGGCTTTGATTGCTGCTGGCACCTTGGTGGGTGGGGCTTCCCCTCAGGCTGACTGGCTGGGACTGGCCGGCCGCAGCTACAGCAGATGAGCCGTTGTTTGGGGGACTGACCCCCACGGAGCAGAGGTTACTTCAGAAGGGCCCTGGTGCCGGCTTAGGCCATCTGTCAGGTGTGTCAGTGGTGGAGCTGGTAGGGTGAGAATCTGCTGTGGTCTGAAGCCAGCCACCAGGTGTGTTGGGTCTGGAGTCTTGGGAGGGGCTGTGGTGTGGGCCGAGGCCAGCCGCCTCTTGTACCGGGCTTGGGGCTGCTTGGTAGGAGCTACGAAGTGATCAGTGCTTGTGCTGGGCTTGGGGACGGCCTCCCAGGAGCTGTAATGCTCACTGAGACCGGCTGCTGCTTGTGTGGTCCGTGGAGGGTCCGCAGCATGAGCTGAGGCCGGCCACCTGTGTGGAGCTTCTGGACGAGGCTCAGGCCGGGTGCACAGGTGGGGCAGGGTGGGGCCTCGGAATCACCAGGGCAGAGCCGACGGTGGTAGCCAGGTTAATGGGGAACAGCTGTGGTGTCTGCTGCACTGGGCCAGCTGGGTGCAGGAGAGCTCAACAGAGCACCAGTGGTGCCCACCAGCACGTCTGTTCTGGGGAAGCTCCCCGACCCCCGGTCCCCCAGACCTCACCCTGAAGTTAGTCATTTCGGTTCCTCCCCTTGTCATGGGTGCTTCTCAAGCTGCCGGACCTGAGTGCGTTTGTGCGCCGGCCACTTCTCTGGGACACAGTCCCCACTGTTTTCACAGCCAGAGGGTGCAGGGACTCCTCTTCCCGGCTCTGGTGACCTGTTCTGGGGAGCCAGGTGTGGAGCTGGGACCCGTTGCTCCTCAGGAAGGGGGGGACCTCCGCAGCCGTCATCCCTCCCAGTTCTTAACTGTCCCATGTTGCTGTGGGCCCCCCGGTTCTGCAATCCCTGCCCCTCCTGTCGGTCTCAATGTCCTTAGTGACAGGGGTTCTGTTCCGCTCAGCTCCTGTGGTTCTCAGTGATGGCTGGCCTATGATTTGTTGTGGTTTTGACATGACTGTGGGAGGAGGTGAGCTCAGAGTCTATCTACTCCATTGTCCTGACTCCACCCCGTGTGCGTTTCTTATTAGCATTTATTCACCCAGAATATGAGTGTAAAATCCCACCCCCACCTCCACCAATGTTTCTGAAGATGATTTTAAGATTATCCAAAGGTGGGTTTAAGGTGAATTTGGGGGCAGCTGAGTCACAGCAGAGTAAGCAATGGCCCGATAGCAGTTTGGCTCCTGGCTGCGGTGCACCGTGTGCAACGGTGGGCCCCTCGTTCTGCTCGGCCCCCGTCGCCGGCGGAGTGGGTGTGCTGCTGTGTGGGTTACGAAGCTAAAGCACCTACTGGCAGCAGTTCCTGGGGAAGAGCCTACATCTTAAAATAACCAGCTGGCGGCTCACGTGAATGTTCAAAAAAAATATTTATTTATAAAAAATACAATGGGATAAGTTTATGCTGAGAAATGCAGCAATAAATACAGTTGAAGACAGAGCACGTCTACACTGGTACATTGGCACAGACGGAAGGGCACACGCGCCACCCAGGCCCGCGGGCCCGCAGGCCGCCCTCACGCACGCTCCTCGGGAGGCGCCGCGCGGAGACGGTCCCGCCGGCTCGGGCGAGAATGAGAAGGCACGGCATCACCAATGCACTCGGATCAGGACTTTATTTAAAAATTAGCAAACAATACTGCAGGAACATCGATACGTAAGTGTCTAAAATGCTGCATCTTCGGTTCAGCTGGCGGACGCCACCTGTAGCTATAAGCACGAGTTTAGTCTTCCACGTAGGAGCCAGACACTAAACTGTAAAAAAAAAAAAAAAAAAGCCTCCTGTTGTCTGAAGACGCGTTCGTTTCAGTAGAAGGTTGTGAGACTGCAGAGCCCGTAGGGGAGCTGGCTGGACACGAGGACTCCCTTTCACAGTGTTACTCATACTTCATGCTCGAGTTACTGGCTGTGCTGCAGGATTTAACTGTTACGGCACAAAAGGCAACTATTGAGGGGAGAGGCAGAGACAGGAAAGGAATGTACGCACGTAAGGCAGTATTTCTTTTAGGGACAATAAGCGTGATAGTGTTTTAGGAAGACAAGGTAAAAATCACTCAAGGCCAGCTCGGCTCTCGCCGAACAGAAACCGCGGCTCTGTGAGCCCCGAGCTCCTCCCTGCCTAGTAATCGATGCCCTGGTCGCCGTACTGGTACTCGCGGGGGTAGTCGTCCGGGTACTCGCCGTGGTAGTCGTCGGGGTATTCTGCCTGGTAGTCGCTGTCGCTGATCTCCGACCCGTTGGTTCCGGTGCCCTGGCTCCCGTTGTGAATGACAGGTTCTGTCGGAGCGGCACAGTACTTGGGATCGTAGACCTGCCGCCCGAGCCCGTACACGCTCATGCCTTTCTGGGAGGCGACTTTGTTGGTGCCCATCTGAAGGGAAATGGTCGAGTTGTCCACGGGCTGTAAGGTGAGCTTCTGGTCGTAGATGTCTCTCCTGGTACCTGGCGCCAGCATCCCGGCCTGGAATCGGCATCATATGAAAGTTACAACAGCAGCCAGAATGTGGTCTCGTGGCCCTGGCCGGTTTGGCTCAGTGGTTAGAGCGTCAGCCTGTGGCCTGAAGGGTCCCGGGTTCGATTCCAGCCAAGGGCATGTACCTCGGCTGCAGGCTCGATCCCCAGCCCCAGTCAGGGTGCTTGTGAGAGGCAACCAAACTGATGTGTCTCCCTCCCCCCGCCTTCCACTCGCTGAAAAGCAATGGAAAAAATACCCTCAGGTGAGGGTTGGAAAAAAAATCTGCTCTTGTGAATATGTTATAAATGGTGAAATCACTGAACGTGAGCAGTAATAACTTCCTTTGGTCTGGGGGTAGAGCTAGCTTACCAAGTACCCCGAGGGCGCGACTCCCTCCTACAGAGCAACACTAACTGGCTCTGGAGCTCGGGCACCCTGCCTTCAGTCCTGGCTCGGCGGTAAAACTGCTATACGCCTTCAAGTCCCTGTGAGCTTCAGGCTTCTCTTTGGCAAAATGGAGGCAATGCCACAGACATTGGATTTTGGAGAGGCTGAGCCTTAAAGAGTGTAAAATGCAGCTTCTCACGGGCAGACCTGGAAGCTGCACACGAATGCCTGTGATGACCGTGTATGTGAGCCTGGTCACCAATGTCAACTTTTAATATATTCAAGAAAAATTACGCAGAGCAGTCCTTAAGGTCGCGAGTTTTTCAAAAGGCCGTGGGACACGGGTGAGCCGGCCACACAGGACTACGTCCCATCAAGGTCAACAACATCACACCTCCTGTCGGGTCATCGAAAAAAAGTTCCCTCGAACTTCAGGCGCACTCTGGTCAGATAGGAGACCTCCTGCTCCCAGAGGCTGTGGGAGCCACCCTGAGGTGCTAGTGGGCCGGGGTGAAAAGGGACAGTTCCCGCAGTGTCCCCAGGAGCCACTCCACCTACTGAGCCTCCACCCGCACGTTTACGGGAAATCTAGCTGAACAGCTCCTAGACGTCAGATAACTTGACCCGCCCGGTGAATGAAGGGCTCCTTTAAAGTAAAAGAGGCTCCGAGTGAGCAGTTTAGCTGGCGTTGGAGCCAGAACAGGGTAACGTTTCTTCCCCTCTGGTTAGGCAGAAAGGCCGGCTGTTCTAACTGCCAACCGAAGGGCAGGCCGCGCCCTCTCGTGTGGCCGCAGAAGGGTCCTTCCATTTTTTTGCTTTCTCAGCAAAACCTCCTTCCTGGAAGGAATCGACTGCCCGTGACCCAGACGCAGAACAGCTGCTGCGCCTGGTTCCTAGGGACAGGTCAGCGCCGACTGGCCGCCCACTGGCAACAGGCACGCAGCCCCGCTTACCTGGCTGGCCCCCTTGTTGGTGCCCATCTGCAGGCTGATGGTGGTCTGGTCAAAAGGCTTGTCGGTTTGCATTTTGGGATCGTACAGGTGCCTCCTGGTCCCGTAGGCGGTCATCCCCGCCTGGCTGGCGCACTTGTTGGTTCCCATCTTATAAGAAAATAAAATCGGCATCAATTACCGGACGTCAACAACCTTTACAGCACAGATGCAGACAGTGCCTTCTGGTCACATTATGAATAATTAACTTCCTCTGCTCCCTCCCCTCCCCCGTAGCAGACGCCCAAACTCAGGGGACCCGCTTCAGAGACTTAAGGGACAGAGCCAGTCGCTGGCCGGGCAGCATGCTTTCCCATTCCAGGTGTGTTTTGCATAAAATACAGCAGCAAACACCAGGTGTCTTCTCTGCAGCTGAACAAGGGCTGCTTTAAGCTTCATCCAAATCACCCCCATTTCCGTTGGAAAAGAACCACATTTTATTCCTGCAACAGTCCCATCCATGGGACAGGGTCCGGGAGGAGCAGCATGAGGGACGTGAACCCGGCCACGTTCAGGGGGACGATAGTGACCCCCCCCCCGATCACGTGGCTTCGGGGCCTACCAGTCAGCTCACCCCGTGTACTGGTATGGGACGTATTTCTACACTTGTGGGTTTTTTTTCCTTAAAAAGACTGATTAAAGGAAACAATGTTTTACTAAAAGTAAAAACTGTTCATTAGAAAAGATTCAGAGAACATACAGGGTGGGGCAAAGGAAGGTTTACAGTTGTATCCATTTCTGAATAACTAACAAGTAACAATACGAGAATTAGTAAGCCTGCTTTTGCCCCACCCTGAATGAGCAGAAAGGAAGGGGGTTGTAACTGTAACCCTCCCACCCAGCTGTTTGCTGTGAGCACGCGTGTGCGCCTGTGTGTGCGTGTTTCCTCCCAGCTTTACCTTACGTGTCTACGGTATCTAGAAACCCACATGCACAAAACACACACACCCCCAAAATACGCACGTGCATCTCCTAAATAAAACTGAGATAAACTGTCCATGGAATTAAACCGACAAAATCTCACAGCAACTTCCTCATGTAAACGACGTGGCGCTGAGGTTCTGTAAAATGCCTCAGTCGGTCCGTAATCCTTAGGAATTTATGAAGTGCATTTTCTTGAATGAGACAGTGGAGGTAGGCAGAAAACAATTTCCTAGGGAAACACTTGTGGAGTCAGCTGGCTGCCAAGGTCTCTCCTGAACGTCGCCATCACCCCGTGGGCTTTAAATGGACACGCTGTGTAAACTGCCACCCACCCCCCAAATCCGCACCGTGGTCCGTCCCCCCTTGCTGAGGACGGACACTGCCCGCTGGGAACGGATGGGGCAGCACTGCCTCCTCACCTGCAAACCGATCACACTCTGGCCGGCTTTCAGCTTCCCCTCATCGAAACGCCGCGTCTGTTTCTCCGCGTACTTCACTCCAATGTCGATGGTGGTGTGGAAGCCCTTTGTCTTGGCCTGGACAGAAACGCGCACCGCGCCGTGAAGCCCCGCCCATCGGAGGGAGCAGCAGAGCAGCCGCAGGGCCGCGGGCGAGGGCTGCGGGGGTTCGACCCCCACCGGGGGGACACCGATCTAAGGCCATCTGGGGTCACACACGGTGCCTCTGAAATGTATCCTGTCTCACGCGAGGCCGCGATGTCAGCAGCCTTCCCCCAGAGCTAACCGTTATGCACGGGGCGGCCCCTCCCGGCCTGGTCTGAGCCCCCGCGGGACAGCGAGGACGCAGGTCGCCCTCCACACGCTGGGACCTGGGTGGCGCCCAAAGATGTGGACATACCAGGCCGGCCAGGGCCACCAGCGTCGTCTGGACCTGGGTCATGTTTCCGTTCTCGAAAAGGTCGTTGGCTTCGAATATGTCGTGGGGCTTCATGCCGTACGCCTGGATGGCTTTGATGAAGTTGCCGATATTTTCCAGCTGTGAAGAAAGAGGTACGTTCGCAGCTGGACAGTGACATCCGTGTCATCTGAGAAACCGAGTCCTCGTGGGGGGCTCGTCACGAGGCGGGAGGCAGAGGGTTCCTGACCCCACGCGTGACACTTGGCTCTCTCCAGAGGACGGAGGGGAGAGAGCCCTTCGCGGAGGGGACAGCGGTGGTTTTAGGGTTTTTAAACTGACATGTTTGTCAGCTCCTCAAAGGCAAGATGAACTCTGTCAGCCACCCAGGGCTGAAGTTTTCTTTGCCAGAAGGTACATAATCCGTGAGTAAGTAATTTATTATGTTTTAATTTAAATATAAACCTGTGGTTGCTAAATGCTTATTCTCTGACATCTCAAAACACACCCTGAAGGCTAAACTATGCAGTTTTACTCACACGCTCGTGAACTAAGACTGAGCTTGATATGGATTCTACAGCCACCGAGAGTTACGTTAAACCCCCTGCTCTCCCCTCATTTCTCCTGATGGTCTCGGTTGTATTTCTGTGTAAACTTGTCAAGTCTTCTCTGAGAAGAGACAGACTAAATACAAGAAAACGTCCAGACTAAACATCTAATAATCTCAGACCTAATTCTATGTGATTATGGAAGCGTTAAAAATAACACGGTAAAAACAAAACAGCCAAGTGCACCCACTTCTGCTGAGATGTCTGTTTTGAAAACATAAGCAAGTTTTCGCTGCCTGCAGGGGGACCGCGTGGAACGGGGGTGGCGGCGATGGTGGTGCTGTTACCTGAGGCCAGTTAAGCGAGGACTCGTTCACCCTCTTCACGGAGCCCGGTTGCAGCTTGTTGATGAGCCTGGAAAGAAAGGTGACAGGTCACCCACTGGCCACACGAGACGTGGGCCGGGACACGGTGGGATGCAGATCTGGGGCCTCTAATGGCGGTAAAGGGAGCGACAGACACCAGCGGGGTACCCTGGTGACACCCTGGTGACTCCCTGGCCAGGCAGCAGGACAATGGATGGACGGGCGGGAGAGGCCTCTCGGCCGGACTTACTCGCAGAGGATGATCCCGTCCTTCAGGCCCAGCTGGAAGTTGGGGCCGATGCTCAGGCCGGTCACCTCTTCGATCCAGCTGCGGAGGTCCTCCTCGGCCTGGGGGTCGTACTTGGAAGCGATCTGGAACACAGGTGACCGAGCGGCCTTGAGAATCTCCGCTACAGCCCTGAACGGGCTGCTTTGCGGCGCGCTCGGCGTCAGTTCTCCACGAGACCGCGGCGGGACGTGGGGCCACTCTCGCACCAGCGGTCCCTGGCTGACCTCACCACTACTGACTGATGCTTCCAGGGCTTTACAACAACAGTGCTTCTGGGTGAGTCGGTGTCGGACAAGCATCGAGCGGCGCGTGGAGGGAGCTGGCACCGAGGAGAAAGGACGGACCCAGGGCGCGGAGGCCCACTCCCACCACGGAGGACGAGAGGACGGCTGGCGAGGGCCCGGCCACGCCAGCTTCAGACTGAGCCACCGACCACCACAGTCGGAGTGAGGGGGCAGGATCCTGACACAGCTGTTCCCCTCCGTTTCTGTCGTTTCCCTCCCGTTAGAGAAACGGCTCCACCCCTTTGCCAGAATAACGGGTAACTTATTTACGCGGTCGGTTAACTTAACCAGGATTACAAAGCAGAAACTCAGTGAGTTGTGTTTTCCTGTCACGGTAACACCGCAGTGTCTCCCGGGTTGGATTCTGGCCTGGACGTTGGCTTAGCAAAGACATTTGGGCCCAGCGCAAAGCCGGAGCCGCGTGGGATTTCCTGCCCCCACCTGAGGACGGCTGGGGGGGGGACAGTGGTGCTGGGAGGTTCAGCCACAGGACACGGTGGCCTCCGTGGGCAGGGAGGGGCCACCCTGCTGTTCCACATCCCCCGGTAACAGTCCAAGTGACGCGTCTCCCGGCACCTCGGCCGTGTCTGTCCACACAGGGCACCTTTAGTACCCAGCCCTGGCCACTGTGGCTCAGTAGTGAGCACGTCGGCCTGAGGACTGAAGGGTCTTGGGTTCGATCCTGGCCAAGGGCATGTACCCGGGTTGCAGGCTGGATCCCTGGCCCCCATCGGGGTGCATGTGGGAGGCAACCAATCGATGTGTCTCCCTCACAGGGATGTTTCTCTCCCTTCCACTCTCTCTGGAAAGCAAGGGAAAGAATACTCTCAGGTGAGGGTTAAAAAAAGTGGGGTAAATAAGCTAGTGGGAAAGAATTCAGTCCTCGACGACGTTTCCACCCTGCACTCTCGCTCTAAGTGGCTAGAGAAAGGAACTCTCTGTATCGGCTTCGGGGGGAGGTGGAAGGGCAGAAGCAGGCCCAGAGGAGCCAGGTCTCCCGGGGCCGTGGAGAGCAGCCTCTAAGGGCAGGTTGAGTTTCCTTCAACAGCAAAGTACTTCAACCACGAGACGCACGTCAAGACTGAAATGCCCGGGAGGGGCCTGCCAGGGGCGATGGGTGAACTGACCTCGCCCGGGCCCACTTCCTGTCTATACAACAGGAAGGCCGAGCTCCGCGGGTGCCCCGAGCCGCTTCCCCTCTGAGCTGTGTAAACAGTTCGGTGCATCAGCAAAAACAACAATGAGATTCTCTCTCCATGTTTTCCAACGTAGAGGCGAAAGTGGAGTTGGAGGCTCTAGGGTGTTTGTGGGGTGCTGGGGGTGGTCCTTCTTAGCCGAAGGAGACCAATTAGTGTTCAACCAAAACGAAAAAGCATATTTACGTTTCCTTTGTTCAAAATGTGAAAGATTCAACCCCATGCCCCAAACCATGAAGTGATTACAGAGCCAACCAGAGAAGTCCCACGAGGAAGCCCGGGAGGAAATTTCGTCCTGTGACTGTCATCGGGGCGGACAAGAGGCAAAGCAGGGCCTGGAGTCCGAGGGACCCAGGTTCCAACCTGACCCACCACGGCCGGGTCACAGGGCGGGGCTCGGACAGCTGACCCTGAGAGGCAACTGCTGCAGAGCAAGCTCCCAGCTCACGTGCAACACCCTCGGCCAGGCTGTGAGCTGGAAGTGAAGATGCGGCGTCACCACGTCACGCGACTGCTGGTCTGACTTTGGGCTTTCACACCCAAACATGCTAATATTTTTTAAAGCTGTGAGCTTTCTGCAGCCAAGCCAGCTAAGCAGGATTCAGGATTCAGGAATGCATACTTTAAAAAAAAAAAAACTAGTTTAAAATGAAAAAAAGAATTCTTATGCAGTCATCTAGAGAAAAAAATCTATTTCAAAAGGTCTCTGGGCCCCTGCCTGCAGCGCTCGCCTCCACGGGGCGCAGGAACCTGAATGTCTCCTTCTAAAGCAGATGGGAACACAGCCCGGCAACCAGGGCCACAGGCTCCACCCACAGCGGCTACTGCTGGGGGAGTGATGCCCCCGTCTTTAGAGTCGAGCAATTCACTGTGAACAGGAAGCTCCGGCCAGTAAAGCTTATCCACCATTTCCACCTAAAAAGCTTTCCTTTCCAAACGCAAGGCGGAAAATGCTGACATTTTCTTCCTGGCAACAAGAACGTCAGCTTGAATTAACCTTATGAATACCTCATGGAAATTTCGCGCTAATTGGCTTAAATACCACTCTCCCCAGTTCTTCATAAACATCGCTTCCTTGCTCTGCTTTGGGATCTGTTTCACTCGACCTTCCCCGCGACCTTCAGGGTTCCCGCCTGGTTCTTCCCAGTCCCAGCGCCACTTCCCCACGTCCCCAGGAGTCCCAAGCACCCAGGTTCCCGCAGGGGGACGCCCCCTCCCCACCAGGGCCCGCTGGCCGTCGCTCTACAGGATGCCTGTGGGAGGCCCCACAAGCTCAGCAGGTCCCCTGGCCAAATACATCAAAAGGCAAAGAATCCTCCTTAGAAAAACGGCAAAGGATCTGCCATGTACAACAACACAGGTCAGACGGAGGAGGAGACTGGGTGATTCCACGCAGACGTGGGATGGAAAATAACAAACGAGCTCACAGCTTCCTCGCCGCGGACAAGGCAGCCCCTGCAGGAGGTGAGGGAGGCGTGGGAAGAGGTGTGTCCCACACAGAACAGAGCCGCGTGTTGGAAGTAACAGAGTAGAAAGTCGGGGCTCAGCGGGGAAACCGACCCCAAGGAAACACCAGCTGCCCCCTCCCTTCTCCTCACCGTCGGGGAAACGAGCATCGGGCCCTGACACCCACGCCACCTGGACGCCCCCCAGGACCTGCGCAGGCAGGTGTGTCCGACCCCCCCCCCC